AGGAGACAGCAGGAATTTTAGGGACTGAAATCTCAGTGTGGCCAAAGCAAACACAGAACAAAACATAATAATATGATGATTATGTTTTCATCAGTGGAAGGATCTACACCAAGACCTGCACTCCCAGGGAGTGGGTAGAGCTGTCCTTTTACAAAAATCCCACTCTCTTGCCCAAAACTGTGAGCAGCTTCTTGCTAGGGGCTGGTGCCACAGGGGGAAACGGAGAGCTCTTTTTGTTGAATGAAACCCTCAGTTCCCTTTGGACAGCTCCTTAAAGATAAGGAGCAGCAGAATGGCCATGCTTGTTACAGGGCCTGCACCAAGTGACAGGATGGCAGTAAAATCACAGAATCAGGGAATCACTAAGGTTGGAAAAGCTTCCTAGATCCTTGAGCACAACCATTCCCCCAGCACTGCCAGGCCACCACTAAACCATGTCCACAAAGAGCCCCATGGCCATTCTAGGTTGCCCACCACCCACTGGGCAGGGAAATTTTTTTCTCTTCTCATATTCCAATTAACTTATGAGCACTCAGCAGGATTCATGGTTTTGCAAAATTCAGAAGGATGCTTTTGGTCATTAAGGGTATGCTTTGAGGTTATGAAATTTGAAGCTCAGAAGGACATATGTGGTCCTCACAGTTGTGATGTTAACTCACGCACACCTCATGGAGCACAAAAACATGTGTAGTCCCGAGGAGTTTTAAGACTTCCATCGTGCTCTTTCTCCCCAGTCACTTCCAGATAGGCTCTGTAGTTCTGAACACTTTACCTTCTACCTAAGCAAAGTCCCTTCCCTTTAAAAAGAAAATAAATTCAATTCCAAAGCGTCAGCCTTCCCCTTCGACCCAAAAACCACAAATGCACTTGGCATCATTCCTTCTTCTGTCTCCAAAAATGCTCAGGGTTTGGTTTCCCAGTACTTCTGTGCAGCCAAGTGAGCTGTTAGCTGATCCTGGAGTGGCACAGCTGAGTCCCAGCAACTGTCCCAACCCACGGGGAAATGTCCCCAGCCCTGATGATCAGGATAACCAGGAGGAAGAGCAGAGCCAAGGGGATACCCAATGACTCTGTAAGAGTGCCCAGAACACGCCACACTGAGTCTCTTCCTCAGGGCAGGCAAATCTCCTCCTCCAGGGATGCCACAGCTCCATCCCAGCAGAGAGAACACCCAGAAGCCAGACAGGATGTAGCCACCTCCTCTATGTTTTATCCTTTTGCAAATTGACTTGCTCTGTGTCCTCTGCTCTGCTTAATTGATCCCCTGCCCATCTCCAGCAAACAAATTGTTCCCCTGTCTCATTCATAATGTGCTCCAAGTGAAGTGTGTTTCTGCCTGAGCGAATGCCCTTTGGGCGTACTTTAAATTGTCACAGTGCATAAGGCTTTCCTTGAAATCTGCATTTTTACAGTGCTCACTCTCCACAATGGCCCCTGGAGCCACACTTAATCCATTTCAAGGCATGTGGTGACTTCCCAAAACAACCTGGCTAGGAAAGCAAAGCTTGCTTTATACCAGGCTCTTTCCATCCTCCCTTTTTCCCCAAACCAGCTGGGTTTTCCTTTTCCATCCTGAAAATAAAGAAGCAAACCAAACTGCAAAGAGTGTCCTGTTGATCCAGCTCTGAGAACTCACCAAAGCAAAGCACTGTCCATTTGAAACTGGACAAGGCCTCAAATCCTTGTGGGTATGAGGACCAGCAGTGACTCAAGCCAGCCTCTCTGCTCAAGGAGCATTGCTGAGCTTTTCAGGGAGGTTGAGGCCACCCAGAGCAAGTAGCCAGTGTGTCCAGGAGATATGGTCCTTGTAACTTACTACAGACCCAGTGATGCTACAGAAATACTGCTGAAGGAGCAGCCAGCCCTGCTGATGAACAGGGAGGAGCTCAGATTTAAGTTTCTTTGCAGTCTCCTCATGGATTTCCAGGACACAGACCCAAAGGAAGCATCTCCCAGGAGAGAGAGCTCCCATGTTTTTATGGGATGGTTTTAGGGAGCAAGGAACCTCTCTGCAGAGGGAAGCATGGATGCAAATGCTCCAGTTTTGTCTTTAAATCTGCATAGTACGGAGGGGGGAAAAACCCAAACCAAACAACCAAGCCCAAGGTTTAGAGCCCCTTCCCAGGAGCCCCAAAATGGGCAGCAAGGCAGAAAAAGGGAGCAGTGTGAAGGTCTTTCCCTTCGATTGCTGCTGGCAGGTTCTCACCACGCGGTCCCGCCTTGCTCAGAGCCAGCAAGGGCAGATTTGGAGTCTGGGCTTGGCAGGATATTGCAAAAGCTGGGCTCAGAGCTGCATCCCAGCTGGAGGCTAAAATAACTATGAGATTACCTCCGCGGGAGCGCATCCAGCACGGATAATGCCCTGCCTGTTCCTCTCCACACGGGGCTGCCCAGCTCCATCCACCTTTGAGCTCCTCCACGTTGCGAGCAGAACTCCCATTGTTTGTCTGCTCCTTCCCTGCCAGGATTTTCTTCTCCCTCAAGAGCTCCCTTCCCCTTGTGTGGCCCAGCCACCATCAGCCCAGGCTGGGATTTTTGATACTGGAGGCATTTCAAACTCAAGCCAAGGGGGTTTCTGGCATGAAACATCCTTCGAGGAGGCAGCGAAAAGCTCAGAGGTGCAAACTGTTCTTGGGCGAGCTCGAAAAGGACATTTCCTCCTCTGGAGAGCCAAACCCATCAGAAATGGCTGCAACAGCCGGGGCTGGAACCCAGCAGCACTACAGAGCGCTGTGCAAGGTAGATGTGACACTTGGTCCACCTGTAGAACTTGGAAATCTTCCTAGATGCATTTGAGAGTTTAGCAGCCACTTGGGGGTTTAGCAGCCACAGCTTGCCAGGAAAAGGGGAATTAAGGATTGGGAAGGATGGCGAAATTTAAAGCAGAGATGGGACACCATGACACCAAACACTCCTCTGCTCAGTGGAAAGGCACCTGGGAGACATCAGCAATGTAGTAGCAATGGTAGATATGTTAGCAAGAGCAGGAGTGCTCACAGCTTCAGAGCCCGTCATGAGAAGGGGCAAGGATATGTCAGCAGAAGGTAAGGAATATAAAATATAAACCTTCCTAAAACCATCAAGGAAAACTGAAGTAAGTTTCAGTGTAAAATAATGAAATGGGAGCTAAAAACATTTATTTTAAAGCCTTCCAGTGCCTAAAGCGGCTCCAAGAAAGCTGGGGAGGGACTTTGTACAAGGGCCTGGAGTTACAGGACAAGGGGAAATGGCCTCCCACTGCCAGAGGGCAGGGATGGATGGGATATTGGGAAAAAATCCTCCCAGTGAGGGTGGGCAGAGATGGCACAGGGTGCCCAGAGAAGCTGTGGCTGCCCCTGGATCCCTGGAAGTGTCCAAGGCCAGGCTGGATGGGGCTTGGAGCACTCTGGGATAATGGACGGTGTCCCTGCCCATGGTGGGGAGGGGGAGCAGGATGAGCCTTAAGGCTCCAGACTAAACCATTCTGCGAGTCTGAGATTTCACATCAGATTTGTGATTATTTTTTGAGGCACACACATTTATCAAACCACACAGACAGTTTTGGCCCATTCATATCAAATTCTCCTAGGTCCAGAAAATAACAACGATAACAGTATCTGATGATGATGATGATGATAACACCACCAACAGCTTTGCCATTATTCCAGTACCTGCTAGCCATGTGCTGCTCCTTCACCCCAGGATGATGGCTGATGTGCTCCTTTATCTCTGTTCAAAGCAGGAGCCACCACAGCGTTTTCTGCTCCACTGCCCCATCTACAATGGATGGTGCACGGCCGTGGAGCGGGCAAACACCAGGCTGGGCTTCCAGGGAAATATTTACCTTGCTCTCTGCTGTCCTGGGGCCCAGGGAGACATCCCAGCTGGGGACTGTGGCTTTCAGCCTCACGGATGCAGCCAGAACCAGATGTCAGTTCTCCCAGCTGGCTCAGGACAGGAGCCCCCTTCTGCCGCAGGCTGTGTCTCACAGGCCCCTGTCCTGGCTGGCATTTGGGAACACAGCAGGCAGGAAGGGAAAGGGAAAAGAGGCAAGCAATAAATGCCCTCTGCTCTTCTCCTGCTGCCCCTCCATACGTGCATCTTACCCTGCTGCAAGGAGCACCACAGCTCTTCCTGCCCTTTCCCACATGGAGCTGAGCCTACAGCTACACAAACATCCCCAAAGCCAAGCACACCACGGGATTCTCGGAGCTGTCCTGTGCAGGGCCAGGACTTCAGTGATCCTTCCAGCTCAGGATATTCTATGATTCTGTCCAAACTCTTTCCGTGTCGCAGACATGTTTTATGAAAAATCCTTTCCTTAGGATTTTTCCTCCTGAGAAGCTGAGAGGCCTCAGGAACAAAATGTAAACATTGATTATCTGCTGCTGTGGAATGCAACAGGTGCATCTGTGACTGGCTCATGTTGGTTGTTTCTAATTAATGGCCAATCACAGTCAGCTGGCTCGGACAGAGAGTCCGAGACAGAGCCTTTGTTGTCATTCCTTCTTATTCTATTCTTAGCTGGCCTTCTGATGAAATCCTTTCTTCTATTCTTTTAGTATAGTTTTAATGTAATATATATCATAAAATAATAAATCAAACCTTCTGAAACACAGAGTCAGATCCTCGTCTGTTCCCTCGACCTGTGAACACCGTCACATTTCCTCACACCTTCCTTGGCCTCATCCAGCTCTTGGGGATTGATCTGCCCCATGGGGCCGTGCTCCCTGCAGATGTTCAAACCAGAGCCCAGATCACAGCTGCCCAACTCCCCTTTCCTACCACCATGGCTCAGGGCAGGCTGTGGACGCTGGGGTGATGAACAGAGGCATCTCCCTTGCTGCAGAAGGAAGTTTTCCTTCAGCCAGGCTCCCTGGTGCGTCAGCAATCAATGCCACGAGGCCCAGGGGAAGACAGGCAGCAGCTGCCATGAGGATGGGCATAAATTATGGATGTGCCGGCCTACCCTGATGTGCTCCAGATTGGGAAGAGACACAACCAGCAAGGGAAACATCAGAGAGGAGCTCCAAAACCATTTATTGAAACAAAACCAAGAGGAATTCACACGAATCCAAAGCGTGGGTGAGCAGGAGGAGGGATGAGCTTCGTCAGGTTTCTTAAAGGGTCACCGTGTTTCTGGTCTTTAAACAACCTTTTCATCCCATTCCACAGGAGGCTGCTTTGGGATGGTAAGAGGTTGTTTGTTCCTTCCACTGGAGTGGCATAAAAATAAATCTGTCAACTTGTATTATGTACACACATATGGGCTGTGGGGTTGTTTTTTTTCTGTGGGAAAACATCACTTTCTCAGTACTTACAATTAAGTAGCATTATACTTATTTTCTTTACCTTATTGAAATTTTTGGTTTTTAACTGAAAACTTTGAGACTTGAAGTCTGAGGGTGCCTGAGGCCAGCACCCAGAGAAAATCAGTTTAGCAGCCAATCTCAGCATGTCTTGTACAGTACAGCAAAGCCCAGGGTGTTTGCCACAGGAGCTCTAACCTGGATCCCAAACACTGGGAACACCTGGCACACAGGGACAGCTGGGGTGGGGAAGGACCAGAGCAGCACAAGAACACCACACGAGGCTCCTTTTCCTTATAAAACAGGCAACAAATCTGTACAACGTGGCCACGGCCACAGGTACCTAGCAGGGACGGCAGGAAATTTAATACCAGAGGTGAAAAGACACATGATCCAGCATGGATACCAGCCTCATGAAAACCTGTCCTGAGGAAAGACACAGAAAGGTTTTCATGAGTCTGGTATCCATGCTGGATCATGCACAACTTGAAATACAAAGCTTTGGTGAAGCTTTGGTTGCACCCATGGGGTGACCTGCAACCACAGCTCAGCCTGCTCTAGCGCCCTGAGAAATCTGTTCTCCAGCCTTGCTGTCCCTCCCCACACCAGGGACACCAGCACAGCGAGCAGGATGGTGGGAAGCTGAGAAAAAATCCCCCAGGTGAGCCAAAGCAACCCACATCAATGGCACCATCAGGGTGCGCCCAGCAGTGGGGAAGGTTTGTCTTCTGCAGCTTGAAGGCAGCTCCTTCCCCAGGGAAAATCCTGCTTTGTCCATTCCCATCTCTCCTAGAGATAGAAGTCTGTCCTGGAGGCGTGAGGGGGATCTGGCAGCACTTCTGCCCGGCGCTGAGGCTGGCAGGGCAGTGCCAGGCTTCCCCCCAGCACTGGATGGTCCTGGGGCAGTGCCATGGCAGAGCTGGGCAAACCAGAGCCGCTGTGGGGCTAGGAGAGAGAGAGAACAGTGGTGAGGAGCTTTGCAGGGGGTTGTCAGCACTGCCTGCACAGAAAAGACTGAGCCCCAGAGGGAGCAAGGCCCTTACCCTGTGCCTGCCCTCCTGGCTCCATGTCCCATAGGAATTCAGCGTCTCCAGAGGGCTGCTGATGCTCCCAAAGTGCCCTGCAGCTGAGCTGGGGGAAGAGTGCTGGGGCACGGAAAGAACAGAGCTCAGCTGCTTCTCGGGAACGAGCTGGTAGAAAGGGGGAAAAATCCTGGGGTATGGAGCCATCTCTTGCCAGGAGTCCCCAGGGCCGGCAGCATCCAGGCTGCACAATCCATCCAGGTGAAACTGCTGTGGGGGCAGGCCAGGCCCGGGGCCCGGGCAGTCCTGGGGCTGGGAGATCCCATCTCTGCTGAGGCCAGGAACGCCAGGCTGAGCTGGAGCCCGCAGCAGAGGGCACACACAGTCCTGCC